GAGAATCTACCTTCTGAATATCTTATCATAAAACCAATCAAAAGGATTGACTTAATTTTCTACTCCTTGCTCCTTTGCCATTCCTTTTTCTAGGTGCCTCTGAGCACCCCAAAAATATCATAAAGAAATCTTGTTCCACCAAAATGATCTAGACAAAAGAGAGATGGAAAAGTTGCAGGCTTTTCTAAATTCTCTGAAAAATAAAATACCCCTGGCATTGTATCAGCAGAAAAACAAAGGAAAACTGAAACTTGTTTAACTTGTAAGTTAGGTTTTCCCCTAACCAAAACAGAGACAGCTCAACTTTCCAGACTCCCCCCCACTCCTGCAGGGTAAATGCCAGGTAGGGATCAAAAACACAATGTGTATGCTGACAAAAAGGATCTTGCTTATTGTAGCAACACTTTCTCCACCTCTATCTATCTCCTTTTTCTTGAGAACACAGTTTTACACTTGTCCTTCATACAAATAACCCGAGGGTGGGAATTATTCAGAAGGCTCGTGTTTGACACCCCATCTGTTCATTTCTGACAGCGATATATAATGTAAGGCTATAAAAACTTGAAAAATAATGCAACATAAAAAGGGATTGACTCGGCTCCAAGAGGCCATAAACGGTAACAAATACCATTGTATGATTTATTTCATGCTGTAATCTTTACAGTAAGTCATCTTTCAGACATTTCCTTGTGACAGGTTTTAATAATATTAATGCCCAGAGCAATCCAAATCATCGCCAATAGACATATTTATCAAGCTGCCAATCCAAGTAAATGAAATTCTATAAGCAATAATGTAACATGTTTAAAGGAAGCTAATAAAACAAGTCAGCAGAGAAATATTACTGCAAAGTATTCTCTCTCTAATCCGACCCTGGATTTTATACAGCCAAAATGCAAATCTTTCCCTCCGTGATTTATCGCTCCAAAAATACCGATGACCTTTTCGCGAGCTCCTGCACAGCCCCTCGCACACATTCATAAAGATCGCGATGCATTCTGCCAGATTAACTGAATGCTGGAGTGCTTAGCATTATTGCTTTGTTTTGCCTTGCCTTTGGGTTGGGATGAGATGGTTAGCATCAAAGAGCGAGATTTTAATTCCTTTAGATTTATTAAAGACTGACAAGCCCCAACTTAGGCTTGGCAACCCAGCAGGTATTTATGAGCAATTATCCAGATACTAGATAAATTTCAATTAAAGAAAGAACTAACATTTGCTTTTTAACCTGGCTTTCACTTTCATCTAATTCAGTTTTTATTAATCCTTTGCTTGGGTAAATGAACTCTCATCCAGGACAAAAATGGGAATGAGACAGCACAGTGCAGCAGCCACATGGGGCCTGGTACACACACATTCTTTTGTACCTAGCTAGTAACTTAACAGGAATGAAAAACAAGAGTCAACAACTCAGCAAAATATACACTATTAAATTTGTCACGCCTCAGGCCAGAACGTGTGGAAAAGCCATGACTAGCAAGGCAAGTATATTGACGTAAGGACTCATAAGTGGTCGAAGAACTCAAACAGGTTTCTTTTCATTCACTTCAAACCAACTTTATAGGACTCCTTTTGTTAAATGGTGCTAATAAAGTCACTTTCCTTGATGTAAAGACTCATTTCTTGGGGATTTCTTTTAGGTGGACAATAACATGGATATGAATTTTGTGTGGGCTGTTGGAGGGAAGACAGCTTTAATCAAAACCCTGCATGCAACTAAAAATGTAAGCAAATTTGGGACACTGTAGTCTTATAACTTTGCCCCACCAGGTTGGGGTGTTCTGAATGCGTTTTGATGGGGGAGAGGGAAAAACCTACTATCTCTAACCCCATAAAAAAAAAATCTAGATGTACTTAGTCACCTCTACCCCCATGAAAAGAAAGAAAATAAAAATTCTAGATGTATATTTGGGGGGAAAAAAGAAAACAAACAGGATTTTTTTCAACTAAATATATAACTGGACAAATTCTTTGACCAATGAAAACGTTTTAAGGAAATGTCATATACTTTGGTATTTTCAAGTTCTGAAAAATCATTTGTCCTTTGAAAATGTTAGGTGTTCGGGTTTTTCTTTTTGTTCCTTATTGGCTTGTTGTGGTACCCACTCCACCTTCACTATCTCTTTTGGCATCTTATTTCTTCTTCAAAGGTGCTGCTCAGAAAGGTATCTCTGCACATATGTTTGGATGGAGAGCTTCACATTACATTCCTTCAAATCCCCCATGTCCTTGAAAATTACCTAAAAACAGGGGCTTCGTTGATCTATAAGGCTTCTTTTATATGAGAGGGGTGAGTAATTTGTAACTCTGTTGGTTAAAGCTTTAACAATTTTTCTAGGAACCCATGATAGCTAGGCATCCAATTCCCCACCAAAGCCACTGGAAACTACCAGCAGGGAAGAGAGAGAGTACATGCATGTGTACAGTCTGTCTTCTGCTCCAAGATGGGGGAGAAGCCCTGCCCTGCCTGATTCAGAGCAGTTTGTCATCCCATAGCAGACAAAAACAGTACTTCAACTTGAGTATCTATCAAGCCAGTATCCTACAGCATGCAAGAGTTCCTCCTCCACCCCATAAGCCCTGCATGGAAAAGTTCAGGTTTTGATTGAAAGGGGACATTTTCATTTAATTCCATTTACACAAAATATGGCTTGGGTTCGATTTCAGCGAAGAACACAAACGGGTTTTTGAAACCTCTGTAGTTGTTGCAAATCTGTCGTCTGGACGAGTGCCGCTTGGCTAGGTGACCTCGGATACTTCATTTCACTTCTCTGACCTTCCCACCCTTTGTAAGCCCTCCGAGCCAGGACTTGCCTTTTACTATGTGTACAGACAGCACCTAGCCTAACATGGCTGTATAGCTGTAGAAGCCTCTGGGCACTGCTATCATACAAATAATAAATACTGCTACTACTAATAATAACAGTGTAAAATGTCCTCCCATGGGAAGCAATGTAAGCCCAATCTCTGGTGACATTTAAAACTAAATACCAGAAAATGTACTGTAGGAAACAATCCTGACCTGGCTGGATGGAACATAGTTTCCTTCCTTTTGATATGATGGTGAGGTAGAAACTTGACGGGGAAAGGAAATATTTATGTGAGTATTTGGTCATGTCTTTGGGGGATTATAGAACATCTCCTAGTAAAATTTCTTTTCCTTTTGTTACGCGGCAGCAAATATCTCAGGGAAAAAAAAAATAAAAAGAAATATATAATCCCCAAGGTGTAATCCCAGAGTATAGAAACTCACTTCTCTTAAATACCTCCCTCTGGCATAATTGACTTTTCATGCGCATTTTAATAATGATATTTCAGCAGGCTGTGAAGGTTTTTTCCTTCTCTTTTTTTTTTTGGTAAATTATGTTATAGGGGATGTGTGTGGGGGGGGGGG